AGACTGTCTTACAGGCAGCCACCAACAACACCGGATCGGTCACTATAATGGGCGACTTCAATGTAAATGCTGACCCAGTTTCTCCTGGCCCACAATTGCGCCACATGCATGACACGTGTGGAAGCTATGGACTGCAGAACGTCGTGACAGCACCAACTCGTGTTCTGCCCCAATGTGTGCGTGGAACCATACTAGATCTAGTCTTGGTCAACCATGCCAGCTTAACATCCTGGAACATCGTACCATGTGACATCAGCGATCACTTTGCTGTGAGTGCTTCACTCAGCTGTGCTACTGAAGTAAGCCAGCCAGCGAGTTCCCTCCTCACTAGGCAGCTGCACAGAGTGGATATAGCAGCTCTCCGCGCTGACCTGCTTGCAGCAGACCTTCACATTTTTCCTCCACATGCGAGCGTCGACGATATGTGGTCCACTTGGCACGCTAGCATAATGCGTGTACTGGACCATCATGCCCCGATGACCCCAGTTAAGAAGCGTTCCAGAAGAAGGCCATGGCTTAACAGAGACACTTACCAGCTAATGATGGCAAAGAACAGGCTGCACCGAAGATGGCTGCGAGACCGGGCTAACATAGCATTATTCCACCAGTACAAACGTGCTCGAACGGCGGCAGCAAACCTTGTCAGACGGAGGAAAAACCAGTACTTCAGTGATGAATGTGTTGTCAACAATCGCAATCCAAGGAAGATGTGGTCCCTGTTAAACTCCATCACTGGCAGAGGAGGAAGCAACCAAGACCCTGCATGTGATGTGAACAAGGTCAGCGTGGCATTTAGCAACATTGTAACTGACCCTGATCGGCCAGCCCACTTGCCATTACCGAATGGACCCCCAGCTGAACACTCACTCAGCTGTCTGGGACCAGCATCTTATGCTGCTGTGAACAAGCTTCTGCAAGCGATAATTCCGTAGAAGGCAACTGGCAGTGATGGAATACCTGGGCTGCTTCTCAAATCCTGCAGTGATATCCTCACGCCATCCCTCACACGGATCTTCAATGAGTCTCTTGAAACGGGCATTGTACCTTCTGCCTTCAAGAAGGCCCTGGTCCGGCCTCTGTACAAGTCTGGAGACCCAACATCCCCTGGGAACTATCGTCCAGTATCCCTGCTGCCGATTGCCTCAAAGCTGCTAGAGAAGCTCGTGCAGCGGCAGCTTGTGGCATTTCTCGATGAACACAATGTTCTACCACCGACCCAATTTGCCTTCAGGAAGGATCACTCCACTGAAGATGCACTTGTGCTACTAACGGATGGTGTTCTCACTGCAAAGGACTCTGCATTGCCTTGCTGCATCTGCCTACTTGACATGTCAAAGGCGTTTGACAAAGTCAGTCACCCTACGCTGCTGCAGGACTTGTTCGACATTGGCGTTTCTGGAACGGCATTAAGTTGGTTTGCCAACTATCTCAGCCATCGAACCCAGCAAGTGCGCATTGGAACCCAGGACGGACCCTGTAATGCATGCACATGCGGTGTTCCACAGGGATCCGTTTTAGGACCAATCTTGTTCAGTGTATACACGCGCGGCATACCAGAGGTTGCTGGTGAAGTGCCCACAGTACAGTTAGCGGATGATATTGGCTTGTACTTCAGCCACCGGCTGCCTACTGAATGCTCCGCGGCGCTTACCCGGGCAGTGTCTGCAGTGGCTGACTGGCTAGAGGATCGCAACCTCATCCTGAACTCCACGAAGAGCCAAGTCCTGAGAATGCACAGTGAAGCCATTCCTGTAAATTGCAATGGGACTAGTTTGCCAGCAGCAAGCACTGCGAAGTACCTCGGAGTTCTGCTGGACAGCTCCCTCAACTGGCAGAAACACGTGGACAGCATCGCCAAGAAAGTATCGCAGAAGATCGGGGCGCTCTGGCGATCTAGGCGAGCATTAAGTCTGAAGGCCCGTACACAGTTCATGAAGTCCATCATCATGCCTGATCTGCTGTACGGGTCGACAGCATTTTTCGCCTGCCTGCGACAGGAGCAAGTCTCTCGCTTGCAAGTTCTCCAGAACCGAGCTGCCAGGGCAGTGTTTGGCCAGCCACCCCGCTCTCATGCTCAACCCCTCCTGACCAGCTTGCAGCTCTACAGCATTCAGGAGCTGCACAAGCAGAAGATGCTGAGGTTTGTGTGGCGTTGCCAGCACAATCGAGCCAGCCCAGCCCTCCAGGACAAGTTTCGAAGTGCTCATGGAAACACCACCCGCCTCCAGCAAGGACAGGGTTTGCGCCTGCCGCTAGCCCGGTCAGCAGCAGGGACATCCCGTCCATCGCACTGTGGTGCCATCCTCTGGAACACCCTCCCCAGCGAAGTTCGCCTACTCAATCGTCCCAGTGAATTCGCCGTAGCTGCACTGCCCTTCACGCTGGCGGGCTAGATCTGCAAACTCCGTGAATTCTACCGCCTTCTGTGTTCACAGTCCCATACTCCCCTTGGAGTAGTCTGCACGGCGCTGCTGCTGCTGTTGTTGTTGTTGCTGCTGCTGTTGTTGTTGTTGTTGCTGTTGTTGTTGTTGTTGTTGTTGTTGTTGTTGTTGTTGTTGTTGTTGTTGTTGTTGTTGTTGTTGTTGTTGTTGTTGTTGTTGTTGTTGTTGTTGTTGTTGTTGTTGTTGTTGTTGTAGTCTGCACGGCGCTGCTTCTGCTGCTGTTGCTGTTGTTGTTGTTGTTGTTGTTTTTGCTGCTGCTGCTGCTGCTGCTGCTGCTGCTGCTGCTACAGCAGCTACTGCTGTGGCTGTAGTTACAGCCCCTCTCGTTGTCAGGAAATGTTTGCTTGTGCTACTTCTCATCCAGTTGACTTCTTATTATGACTTTGTACGTTATAATTTTCTTGAGCTCCGGTTTTCCCCTTCATTCTAACTCAAGTGCAGTTTAGCGTGTATTGGCTTGCGATTTCCTTTCTTCTGTTTGCTTGGCATTTTATCGCTCCACAGGTACCCTCGGTCTCAGGTGCTCTCACATTTGTGCAATTGTTGATTTTGGTCCTGACTTGTCCTCCCTGTTGCTTTGCTACCGTCCTCCTCCTTCCTCCACCTTTTTTTTTTCTTAATTGGCCTCATTATGGCATTCGCTTCCATGTAATTGGGCTTGTAGCCCGTGTGTACTTGCGAATTCAAATAAAAATATACATACATACATACGCCATCAGTGTTGTCTGCCCCTGTGCGGGGTTTCTTGAAGATGCTCCGAGAGGAACTCTCGTATGATGCACTGGGGTGTGGTATTAGTGGACCGACCACGGTCTAATATGACCTGTAGCCTGAAGTGTCTTCCGTCGCTGCTGTGGATGCGTTATCTGGCTCTGTTTCCACTGCCCCTGCAGCAGTTTTTTGTTTCTCGCTTCAGCGGTTCTGGTACCGCTGCCGACCTCAGTGGTGCTACTGTTATTTGCTGCCTCGCCTGCCGCCGCCGCACTTTCTGCCGCTGCACCTGCGCTTCTGGTGGTACTCCTGGTATGGCTGCTCCCGCTCCTGCTGGTATGGCTGCTGCCGCTTCTGCTGGTATGGCTGCTGCCGCTCCTGCCGGTATGGCTGCTCCCGCTCCTGCTGGTATGGCTGCTCCCGCTCCTGCTGGTATGGCTGCTGCCGCTTCTGCTGGTATGGCTGCTCCCGCTACTGCTGGTATGGCTGCTCCCGCTTCTGCTGGTATGGCTGCTCCCGCTCCTGCTGGTATGGCTGCTGCCGCTCCTGCTGGTATGGTTGCTCCCGCTCCTGCTGGTATGGCTGCTGCCGCTCCTGCTGGTATGGTTGCTCCCGCTTCTGCTGGTATGGCTGCTGCCGCTCCTGCCGGTATGGCTGCTCCCGCTCCTGCTGGTATGGCTGCTCCCGCTCCTGCTGGTATGGCTGCTGCCGCTTCTGCTGGTATGGCTGCTCCCGCTTCTGCTGGTATGGCTGCTCCCGCTCCTGCTGGTATGGCTGCTGCCGCTCCTGCTGGTATGGTTGCTCCCGCTCCTGCTGGTATGGCCGCTGCCACTCCTGCTGGTATGGCTGCTGGTGCTGCATCTGTTCAGGTTGGTTGACTTCGCAGGCCTACAAGCACGATAATTGACAGAAAAGAATTTTTTTATAAATGCCAGAGCCACGTAATATTTTAAAAGCCAGGTGAAGATCACAGGCATCCGTGCAATGTCAAGAACGCACACTTCTCATAGGATTGAATTTTTCCCTCCTCTTCAGGGATAATGCAGGGAATGCCGAAAGTGGCAAAGGACTGCAACTTCTATAATAAAGTTGATGAAATATCAACACTGAAACTGTTGCAAAGTGCTGGCATTGTTCATACCTTGACAAGGAGAAACTCGGAATAACTGTAGAGACTAGCATTTCGAATAGCAAGAACTGTGAGTTAAAAAGTCAGAAGAAAATTTGTAAGGTCTATTCTTGGAGGAAGAATATACGATAACTTCTTAGTTCGAGCATTGCTGGCCTATACAAGCGAAAGTCCCTGGTTCGAGTCCAGGTGGTGACAGTCAAATTTTCTTCGGAATTTTGCCCTTGCCAACTCCTCAAACAGATGAGTACTCGATGCATTGAAAGAGAGAAAAATGTGTGTGCACGGGGGTGGGGGAGGGAATACCAGGGTTCTGGCCAAAGGAAGGTAAGGGGGGGGGGGGGTCCGGCACTTCTTCACAGGAGGGGGGGTCGCAGCTTCCCCTCCCCCCCCCCCCCCCCCCCTGTGAAAAGGTGTCGACCCCCTCCCCCCCCCCCCCCCACTCATTTTCCGATTTCTGTGTTTTTTTAATGGAATTCAACGGAAATGCAGTCGATAGTCAGCATTATACACTAGAGGGTTCATAAAGGAATATTTGTCTGGGGTGAAGTCAGGTGTTCGTCCTGTACATTCCACTTCGCATTGCCAGACAGTTATTTTGAAATTTGATCAATGGGTTACGGGGTAACTGTTTGCGCTTCCCACCCCCCCCCCCCCCCCCCAATTTTTGACCTGGCTAGAGCTGTGGAATACTGCCAGTTTGTTTCTTTGAACCTTACCGTATTATGTTGCCTTCTATCAGCCTCAGTAGATTTTACCAGGAGTTGTTGTGGACTGCCTTGCAAGTGCCTGCAGCCAATCGTCGCTGATACAGAGTATGTGCCAGCTTGCAATCGATCAAATCCCATCTCCACACATCCAGGTAATGATTCAAACCGTGTGCGCACAGGATGAAATTCTCCGTCGTCATCAAGGTTGCGTACGGAAATCTCCAGTCCAACGCTGTCGAGTTGATCCCTGCTGACACTGCAAACTGGGATAGTAATCCTTCTTACGGCACTGCTAATACTGGTAGCACTCTCAGTGACAGCATCATCAGTTGGTGACGACATCACTTCAACCGTGAGTGTGACATCATCGTGAGTCGTGACGTCTTCTGGACAATTCAGTACAGCATGATCAGCTACATCCAGTACAGTACCAGACTTGCCAATGTCATTCAGTAGTTGTGTGATGTCAGTGCTGGCAAACACAAGCCCACTGGACACACATGGAACTGTGTCTTCTTCAGCTGTTCGCATTGCTTTGTTCAACGACTCGTCGACCCATGTCCATATGTGGAGCAGGTCAACATCGTCAGCGAATGATTTCACAATGTGTGCGGCAGTCTCTTCTTGTGACAGACACTCCTGAAGTCGACTTCGCTGTTTCTCCAATGACAGTATCTTCTTATATCGCAAGTCATCCAGCTCAGCAAGGAGTTCATTCTGACGCTTCTCAGCTGCCTCGACCAACAGTTTGGAGAACTCCGTGACTTTTGCCGAGGCCTGCTCTGTTTGGTTGTTTAGCTTTTCAATATTGGTTTGAACATTGTACAACGCTTGGCTTGTAACACCATCACATGTTGATGTACTGCTGCCAAGCTTATCTGCTAGCGTATCCCGAGTCTTTTGACCAGCACTGGCTATATCCAAGACTTGATGATCTTTCTTGTGTGAATGTAGTAGTAGTAGTAGTAGTAGATTTTATTATTTTACTAGGGGAGTCCCAACAGGCGTTGCCTTTTTACTGGGAACCCTAGGTGAATTTTTACCATGTTTACATACAGAGTAAGAGACGGGGCCTGACGGCAGTCAGTGGGAAGAGCATTCCATCTGTCTGCCGCCAGGAAAGAAATAGAACGCATGCCATATTGCGTAGAAACAGGCGGAAGAACTAATGCGCGCTGTGCCTGGCCGCGCGTGCGAGCCTGGTGTCCAGGCACAGCAGCCCTAAGCTGGAACAAGGATTGGAGAAGGGGACTAGCAAGATGTGGGGTCAAGCAGCGGTACACGAAAACATAGAGTTTAAGATTTGTGCGCTGTTCAAAAGAATAGAGATGATATTTGCGGAGAACAATTTCAGTAGACATCATACGGTCAAACCCAAAAACTTTCTTCATTGCTATGTGACTGACCGTCACGATTTTATTGAACAGGGTGGCGCTGAGACAGTGCAGATAAGCGTTACTGGCATAGTCGAGAGTCGATTGCACAATGGATAAATAGAACGTCCTCTTCGCTTCAGGTGTTAGGTTTTTTCGGCCATGTCTGAAGGCGGCAATCTTGCCGAACACCGCACCGCAGACCTTCTCGACTTGCGGCTGGAAGGTGAGATGCTCGTCGATGAGTAGTCCGAGATACTTCACGGTGGCTGCAGGGGTGAGGGGCTTGCCTTTACAAACTAGGGGGATTGGTAGATGCGGCACAGGTTGGCGTGGGCGCCGAAGGACCAGGAACTGCGTCTTGTCAGGGTTCATGAGAAGTCCTTTGTCATCAAGGTAGAGCTCCAGAGCGCTAAGGTCATCCTGAAGCTTTCGCAGCATGACAGAGAGGTCCGTTCCAATGACGAAAAAGGCGATGTCATCGGCATAGAGCTGAGAAATACTGTTCCGAACAATCTGTGGAACCTTGCGGATGTAGACGCAAAAGAGGAGGGGGCCAAGGACGGACCCTTGCGGAACTCCCCTGGTGCAGGGCACAGTCCCACCACGCTCCCCATTGACCACGACTTGTTGACTTCTGGAGGACAGATAGTCCGCGAACCACTTCAGCACCGAGCCGCCTAGCCCTACGTCAGCCAGCTCGTTGACCAGTTGTTGATGCTGTACACGGTCGAAAGCCTTGCTCATATCTGCGAACAGTATCGCGCATCGCTGGCCATTGTCCAGTGCTCTTGTCCACCTGTCTATGGAAACAGCGAGGGCATCTTCGCAACTGTGCTTTGGACGGTACGCAAACTGCTCCAGCGGCAAGGCGGACAGCTCTGGGTGGTCACGGAAGAATTCAGTAATCTGCCGGTGGACAACCTTCTCCAATATCTTGGAGGCAACGGGCAGCAGAGATATTGGCCGGTGGTTGGTGGCTGCAAGTTTGTCCCCGGACTTGAAGAGTGGGCACACGTGTGCATGCTTGTAAGAGGCTGGAAAAACGCCAGAAAGTAGGGACTGATTGATTATGGATGTTAGTGAGGCCGTGATATTTGCTTTGCATGACTTTAAGATGCAGGGAGGAATGCCATCCGAACCCGCGGCCTTGTGGGAGTTTAGAGTAGTCAGTAGAGCCTCAACTGTTTCAGTGTTGACCAAGGTGAAGTCAGTCAGGGTGCTAGGTGCTGTCGGATCCCTGTCGGCTGGTATCTGCAACACTCCTGGCCTGGCTGGGTCGTGGACAACTGCCGCAAATGTTGCAGTGAGTGCTGGAAGTGGCGCTGCAGGGGTGGATTTCGTGGTGGCTCGACCAGAGAGCTTATTTAAGAGACACCACTGGCCTCTGGGGTCACGCTTCATGTTTCTGAACTGTTGCATTAGGAACTCCGACTTCAGGCGCCTGTTCAGAAGTGTCCCTTCCCTTCTCACTGCCCGGTACCGTTGCATTAGTTGTTGATCAGAGGGACGTGACCGAACCTTTCTGTGCAAATGCTTACGCTGCTGTAAAAGATATCGCAGGTGAGGAGTCAGCCAGGGTTGAGGTTTGGGTTTGCTGAAGGATGGTACGCAGATGCGACGGACGGGGCAAAGTTTGTCGTAAGTTGACGTGAGGACGGCTGTTAGGCTGTTCGCCAAGATATTTACATCTGTTGCAAGGGGGAATGACGTCAGTTGTTCGTCCACGGTTCGGCATAGAGCGTCCCGGTCTATTTCTGTGGCGCTCGGCTTCCTGATATTGGTGTAGAGTGGACAGGTAGACATGGTTGGATATGTTAGGTGGGTTATAACTAGGTCGTGGTCGCTGATACCGTCCACAGGGTGCACTGCTGTCTGTGTAAGCTGGACTCCAGTGGAAACAAGTACCAAATCGATGCAGGTCTGCCCATGACGAGTGGGAGCAGTGACAACATTCCTGAGATCAAACTCGCAGCACATATTCCGGAGATGTTTGTAGTGTCCACTGCGAGGCTGCAGAACATCCGTGTTCAGGTCACCGAGGACAATAATGTTCGAAAACTGACGTAGAATGTTGTCGAGTTGAAGGCTGAAGAGTTCCCAGAACTCGACCTTTGCGTTGGGTGGACGGTACACGCTGCACACAACCAGCTCGTTGGATTTGGGTTTGGAAGACGGTATGCGAACACGTACAAATATGCACTCCACTCCCGGTATACATTGCGTTGGGGCAGGAGAGGAAACAAGAGACGCGTGCACATACATGCATACTCCTCCGCCATGTAGATCTCTGTCTTGTCGATACAATGTGTAGCCAGGAACGTGTAAAAGAGAATCGGGAATGCTGCTGTCCAGGTGTGTCTCGTTAATGGATAGAATGTGAATTTTATGATCGTGCAAGAGTTTGTGAATATCCTGAACCTTATTTCTGAGACTACAAATATTTATAAGAGCTAAAGTGACATTACGACAAGTATTAGTGTGAGCAATGATCCGGTGGCTTACCGACGAGGTGGTAGGATTTGAGGGACTCCCAGGACGATCCTATTGCGTGCCCGGATGTTCCAGTGCACCCCTGTCAGCAGAGCCTCGTTCCTGCAGGAGGTGTGTGATCTGCTGGGGGGTGTACGGTTGGTACGTTTCGTCGAGAATCTCGTCGTACGGCATTGAGCACTTCACGCCTCTACGTCGAAGCTCCTTGTAGCTCGTCACGTTGTTCTTCCTGGCTGTCTGTTGCTGTCGTGTCAGGTCATTGGCCATATATATGGGAGTTCCATCTTGTAGTTTGAGGTTGAATCGTGTACGGTATACGGCAGACTTGCTGGCTTGGCTTTTGAATTTGATCCGTACAGGACGGGGACCTCGAGACCGCTCAGTTCCAATCCGTTCTGCGTGCGCGACTTCATAGGAGTCTATCTTCAGGATCCGGATGCAGTCGTCAAATAGGCTGTCGTCCGCTTCCGGGATGCCGCGAACAATGGCGTTGTTGCAGCGCTGTTGACGGTCAACTTCTTCCTGCACCAAAGCAGCAAAGTTGACGACGTTGCACGTGCCAACAACCCCTTCCGGGGGCGGCATGTCCTTTTCACCGTTCGTAGATCTACGGTACGCTGCCGTACCTGTACTCTCAAGACGAGTAAGGCGAGCCTCGAAGATGTCCAGCTTCTCCTTCAATGCCCGATTTTCGGCCATTACAGCATCGATCTTGGCCGAAAATTCCAATGACATGACATCGAAGCGCTCCGTAAGAGCACGTTGCTCCCGCAGGATGTCAGAGAGGAGAGAATGTGCCTGTTTGCACTTCGGGCACAGCAACTGGTTACACTGTACGCAGAATCCATCAACAAACTCACTTGTATGCAGTACACACCTGTGCTGTGTAGCAGCAGATCTACTGGTCGATCCTGCAGAAGACGAGGCTCGCTTCACTTGGGATAACGGCTTGACAATATGTCCCTGGTTGGCTTTGAATAATTGATGACCAGCAGCATGAACATCGCACATTCTCACATGGCAGTTCTCACAACTGCTGGTGGCGGTGGTGCGAGTTCCACACTCTTCACACACTGGCGTTGTCTGGGTGTCTTCGCCCGCTACACTGTAGCCTGCATCTCCCAGGGACACCACACTGGGTAGAGATCGCAATGGCTCGACGCTCATAGGCAGGGGGGTGGTTGACCAACATTTCGGACATTTGATTGAACCGTCAAAAGAAACACTGTTTTGCACACACGGCGCGCACAGCGTGTGCAGGCAGGAAATATATTTCAGACTGGTGCTCGATGAGCCACAACCGCTGCACAGCCACTCGGGTGATGACATTGCTCATGCGAGAACAATGAATACTGACGTTAGAACTTGCCGGAACGTGAACTCGGAATGATTGAAGAAACTAAGCGTATGTAGAGACTCTACGACTTGAAGTAAAGTTAGTTGTATTTCTCTCAGAATCGACGTGAGATCCCGGTAATACCGTTCATACATAGCTCGGACTCGTAGTCATGGTATCGCTACTATTCGTAGTATGATTGTGCTGCTCAATGAAATCCAGGCGCGTCACTCCAGTTTTTTTCCAGTTTGCGCCTTGCATCATTTCACAGCAGGTCTAGAAACTAGGCTGCGCAACGCCCGGCGCGTACATGTACTTGAGTGACAGGACTGGATTCCATGGACTGGCACGGAGCCCTCCAAGTACGCAGCTGCTGTCGAGACGTTCGAATGGACCGGTACCGGTGTACAGACTACAGGTCACATGTAATGGATGCCGCCACCTTGATCTGTTGATGCACCGTCCTTTGACTGATGATATGAGTTTGTAGAACAATTCGTCCAATCCAAGGTCGCCACCTGGTGTGAGGAAGTTGAGCAGCTCACGACCATCGCTGCATCGCAACAACAAGCCGCCTACTCCACATTCACGCAGGGTCTGCAAAACAAGTGGTCCTTCCTCTGCCGGGCCTCCTCCATTCCGCCGTACCCTCTTGAACCGCTAGAACACGCAATCAGCGAGCGGCTCATCTCAGCAATCACGGGTCAAGCTCCACCTGGGACAACTGTTCGCTGCTTACTCTCTCCTTGCCCTGCCGGCTTGGGGGACTGGGTATGGCAAACCCCTGTTCGATGGCTGAGCAGTACACCTCGCCCAGAAGGATCACGGCTGGCTTCGTGTCTCGCCTGCTGGAGCGGGAGTCGTCTCTTGGCGACTCGCTGACTCGGCTCCGGACGGTCAAGGCGACGGTTCGTGCCGAGAAGCGGAGCGCGGCCAAGTTCGTGGCTGACGCCCTTCGCTCGGATCACCGGGAGCTGGCCCCTGTTCTCGACCTGGCCTCAGAAAAGGGTGCTTGCAGCTGGCTGACCTGCCGCCCCCTCAGCCGCCATGGTTTCACCCTCGGCAAGGGAGATTCTCGGGATGGCCTGTGCCTCCGGTACGGCTGGACACCTCCTCGGCTCCCAAGCCTCTGCGCGTGCAGTAAGCCGCTGAATGTCAGTCACGCCCTGTCGTGCCCGTTTGGTGGCTTTCCGACGCTGCGACATAACGATGTGAGGGACATCACCGCCAGAGCTCTGAGACAGGTCGCTCATAACGTGACGGTGTAACCCCACCTCCAGCCCGTCACCGGAGAGGCCTTCCGCCATCGCACAGCTGTCACGGAGGAGCAGGCACGGCCGGACGTTGCGGTTAGTGGTGTGTGGGGTGGCCGATTCGAGCGCATCTTTATCGATGTACGGGTATTCAACCCTTTTGCGTCTTCGAATCGTGCCACCTCCCTCGCTGCTAGCTACAGACGCCATGAACAGGAAAAGAGCGAGTACGCGAAGTCGAGCATGCCTCCTTCGTGCCCGTTGTGCATTCTGCCTCTGGTGGCTATGGCAAGCATGCCAATGCGCTTTTCTCGCGGATCGCCTCTCTCATGGCTGAGAAGAGCAAGGAGCCATACGCGCAGATTATCTCTGTGAGTTGGTGAGGCTGTAAGTTGTCGCGCTGTGAGTTGTCTTGGCTGTGAGTTGACGACACTGTGAGCTGTCGGCTGTGAGTTGTCGTGCTGTGAGTAGGCACCGGCGGATTATGCCGGCATAATTATTGGCATAATTTGGTGGTTGAAAATTTTGAGCATAATTTGGCATCCTTTCGGAGGTAGGAGCGTAGCTACATGATTGTACCACAGTTCTAGTATGTAGGCTACACAATTTTGTACAATGCACCTAATCAGTGCTGGTGGGCTGCATGGTAAAGGGTTTGGAGGTCATACAGCTGATAGTGTTTTCAATGAAAAGCAGGGTAGGAATCATGGCAATACATTATTGTATGCTCGAACTCGTCTTCTTCAAAGTTCTTGCTCGCGTTGATACCGTACATTTAGCAGATGCGAGTGAATCAGCCTTTATCAGGTATCCTGGCCCCTGGGCCCTGGGGCGGACCATCCGCGGACTAGATGAGATAGTGCCGGGGTAGACCGCAAAACTCCGCGTACAACAACAAGTCATGTAGATCTACATTATGCATGTGACAAAGTCATGACGCACGTCTGGATTTTAGCATCCATGACTGTGCACTGCAGGCTTTGGATATTGCTCTAATAGTTAAAAAAACTTGAAGAGGTATAGTTGATGTTCGGTCATGATGTAGTAGAAGTGGAGCTACGGGAGAGATGAGCAGATTATTCGCAGGGTGAGGGTGACAGCGGTTGGACGAGTATGGCGATCAGTCACGAGGACAGTTGAACATGATATTTTTCACAGGTAACTCAAACTAATTTGGCAATGAAAAAATCTTTTGAAAAAAAGTCAACTATTGAATAGAAGGAGCAATGTTTTCTCTTTTCCATGTTGATCTCTAGCATGAATGGACACCTTGGTATGCCTACTATGGCCCTCGTGTAACATTTGGTTGTACTTATGGCCACTTGCAAGTACGAAAAAGGCACAATTTTCCGAACTTTGAGGCTCCATGAGTGCAACAAAGTGAATATGTATCCCCGGGTGCCAAAGCATAATAATTATGAGGATTTTGCGAGCATAATGCGAGAATCCATGAAAGCATAATTCCATGATTTCGCGAGCATAATCCCCTGGAGCCTAGCTATGAGCTGTCTCGCGGTGACCTGTCGTGTTCCCAGTGCTAGTGGTGGCTGAGGCACGCATCCAGTGAACCTGGAGTGATCCAAGCTACTGAGTCCGTATAATAATACGTCGCAAGTATATCCGATGATTCGTTTTATGTAATTGTGTTTATGCTTCACAAATGTGTTATTTTGCCCGTACAAGAGGCTCAAGGAGTTCATTCCTAAAAATAAAAATAAATAAAATAAAATCTTGACTAGTAAATTTAAAAAAGATTCCATGGAGCAGCACTGCCTGTACTCTGTAGTGTAGACATGACTAGTACTAGTACATATATTTATTTATTTATTACAGCATCTCATAGCACAGTGAGAACACCGGCCATGCATGTGCATGCCGAGTTCGAGTATCGCTAGCGCGCATGTTTATTTATTTAATTTTTTGTTAAACGGTATGGTCTCTGCTGCTGCACTGGGATGACGACTACACCTTAGGCTCCGGCGGATTATGATAACAAAATGGTGGAATTATTATACTTTTATTCCACGATGGCGTGACGCCAATAAGGACGATTGATAAGTGTGATAGAACTCATACTAGCCAGAAACAGCTAACAAGTAGATGGAAATTTATCGGGGAGGCAAGAAGCAATGGATTTATTTGTTTATTTTTTTATTTTTTTCTGCACCTCTTGGCATGTCAAGACAGCCAATTGAATTGAGGAGAGGGTGAGACCAACCACGAAGAAGAGAAAAAAGAAAATGAAGAGCACGTACACAAAGTGGGAAGGGATTAGCAACTTACAAAGCAATGGGATGCTCAGCGAGCTATGCAGCGGAAGTGGTGACTGTGATTTTGTTTACTGGGAGATACTGAAGTGCTGTCTGACGAGGGTACGGAATTTGGGCATATCTGGAGCTCGTCTAACACTGGGAGGCAGTTGGAGCCACGTGGAGTAGGAGGAAAAGAAAGGGGAATTTACGAATAGGGTAGACCTAGCTAGGGGGAGACGAACGCAGCTTCGGGTGGTGCCACCTGACTTAAACCAATTAGGTGACTGTAAATGAGCAGGGTGCTGGTCAAGGATCATGAAAAACAAGCGGGGTCAATAGGGGTGATCGAGATGATGAATTACACTTTCGAGATATCAGAAGCCGGGGGGGGGGGGTGCGCGGAGCAGGAATAGGTACGGCTCAAAAGAAGACTAGATGTAGTGTTTCGGAAAGAATTTCTACGATGTTGGGTTGTGATGTCGATAGGGAGTGAGTTGTAGAGGGTGATGACACTGTTGATGAGGGAATCTCGATGCCTGTTTGTGTGTGCGTGTCCGATGGAGTAGGTTCTTGTCTGTTGAAGGGTGTATGGTTGGTGTTGACGTTGTGGTACAATATGTGGTTGTTGCAGGTGTGGCGGGGAGGTTTGGTAGTGGATGTCCCATGCTAGCAGGGCTTGCTTAAGCCGTTATAACTCAGCTTGTCCTGTTCATCACGCAATTAGAAAGGCAGTTATATTGGCTGCACGTGTGATAGACTTAGTGTATCGTCCTGCGCAGCAATTTCTCTTCACGTTTATGTTCACAGTATTGTATTGTGTAGTATTGTAATGAATTGTATGGAATTTGTTTTACTTCGGTGGCTCCACAGTGCAAGTCACTACTACAAAGAGGCCCGAAAAACCGATTATAAGGAGATAAACAGATATTCATGCAGCATTGCCTGGTAAGAGAAACAGAGGGTACGTGCTGCAACCCACAGCTGAATGTGACCTCTTGATCTGGCACAAGGATTGCAAACAATGTACATGTACATGTAGTCTTGTACAATGTAGATGCAGCGAATGCATGGGATTTGGAGATTTCTACAGCATTGAAACTACTAGTACTGATAATCAGTGAGAGAAGGTCGCGATCACTTCACCTCAAGCTGTGACAAAATCAACTTCAGAACTGATAAACACTATCTTCTTTGTCACACCGCCAGCTTTGAGGCTTGGCCCAACTCATTGTTCTCCAGGGAACCATAAGTTGAAAACGTCTTGTCAGGACTTGTGGCCATTCATCTCAGAAACCACAGCAATTGAATGCTTGAAAAACACGCGAAGGAAGCCCTCTTTTGATTGCCTATCTCCGCTAATCTTCTGATCAGGGGTAAGGAAAACTTAGTTGATCAAATCTCACTTTCGCTATCACTTCTGAAAACCACCAGCAGGGTTTTCAGAGACTTCACTTGGCCCAATGGGGGCGGAGAAGGGGGGAGGGAAGGAGAAAGGGACGAGAGAAGGAGAGTGGGGCCAACAAATAGTGGGGCTATGGACACTTGCTGGTGGCCCAATGGGTGTACAGTAACAAGAGTCCACAGCCCCACATCTGACAACAATCACAAGGATACGTACAATCTCATAAGGCAGGTGCTAGGTGGTGCTTTCATACTCGATGACCTACTACCATGCCAGGGATAGTTACAGTCAACTTCGCTTATAACGACACTCGGCGGGGCATCAGAAAAATGTCCTTATTCGCGAAGTGTCGTTATACCCGAAGTCTCATTGTACTGTATGTGTAACAGTTGGATGGGTCTTTGCTCTGGGCATGAAAATTATGTCGTTATTCGCGATTTGTCGTTATATCCACAGTCGTTATTAGCGAATTGTCGTTATTAGCGAATTGTCGTTATATCCGCAGTCGTTATAAGCGAAGTTGGCTGTAGTACTAGAGTGCAGCTCAACGAAATCCGATCGAGCCACTCAAGCACGCGCCGGGCGTTGCGCAGCCCTAGACCTGCGAACCCTGGGCTGAGAAATAGCGCAAGGCGCAAGCTGGACCCACGCGATCGGATTTCAGTAGCAGCTCTGCAACAACAGAGGTGGCAAGTAACGGGTACCAGTATACACCGCCTGCAAGGGTTATGAGACCGGTCATTTCCAGACCCAGCCATGCATATTCTACTACATGCATTGGAGCCTGAGAGTGCACTCCCTCGTCTTGGTTGAGACTTGAGAGAAAGCACTTGTTCTGGTTTGCGTCAACCTTTAAAATATTCTTTCGTGCGTGTCCATGTCCATGTACATGCAGTCATGTACATGTACATGCATTTTCAATAGCAGAACAGATACAGATGCAGATGCAGAGGATACCCACTAAACCAAGACCTACACACTGTACACGTTTTCTGGAGTGGGTTACTCACAATGTACAATGCAAATATGCACGTACGTCTGGGGCTAATGTACTTATGAATTTTGTGTTTTTGCACGTTTAAACCCGATTATCTGAGTTAGCATCTGATTTGAGTGCTGATTGCCCAAGAACACAGTGTGACACTATTACATTACGGCGTCGTCTAACCGGATTTGAGTCAAGTGCCCAGTACTCGTGCTTTTCAACAGGCAACACGACCTGCAGCATCGAGACCAGCACCTTAGCGCATACATAAACAAACATGTATACATGCCATTGTACATGTACAGTGTACAATCGTCATGTACATGATTGTACATGTATAGCTAGTATACATGTACATAAAGCTAGTATTTCCCCATATCCTGGCCAAAGCATGCACATGCAGGTGCCGATCAAAAGAGTACAGTGCTTTTAAGTACATACACAAATAAGAGATCCCCCAGATAGGCGTTAGCATTTGGGTAATCCTGAAAATAAAGATTATTGTTATTTTAAAAAAAGAGAAGAAACACATGAGAACGAGTTACACACACATACATGTACATGTATATGCAGCAACTATCCACGACTGTAACAAGATGATAAAAAGTCAGAAAGTGCGATACGCGTAATAGGGCACACAAGTCGTTAGTTGCTGCAAAACTCGTTCTCATGTGTTTTTTTCTCTTTTTCACATTTATTACTGGCTCAGTATCCGATTGTAATGTTAAACAGTGCTGGTTGTTGTTTGTTTTTTTCAGTACACCCAACTCGCAACACACAAACAGTCCTTGGCCACACCACGTACAGTTGAAATTGTTGTTGTATAATTTAATTATTCCTTATTTGCAGTGGTGATCAAAACAGGCAAAGTGAATACGCCAAACAACAATGGACCCATTGTGTATGAAAACGTTAAGGATAGTATGGAAATTTAACTCGGATACTGAGCCAATAAATATAATTAATATAGAAGAAATCACATGGAAACGAGTTATGAAGCAACTATCCACGACTGTAACAAGATAATAAGCAGTCAGGAAGTGCGATAACAGGGCACAAAACTGACATGTTACTTTGACATTCAACGACCTGAGACCTACATGTAGCTCTCATGCACCTCCAGTGCGCAAACCAACAGCCTTCCAGCAAGGTTCAAGGTCACTGGAGGTGTGTGAGAGCTAGGTCTCAGGTTGTTGAATGTCACAGTAACATGTCAGTTTCGTGCCCTGTTATCGCACTTTCTGACTGCTTATTATCTTGTTACAGTCGTGGATAGTTGTTTCATAACTCGTTTCCATGTGATTTCTTCTATTTTAATATTATGGAAAGGTAGAGATAAGAAAAGAAAGAAAGAAAACGGAAGGTTGGTTGTAACGAACAGATAATTGTCAATCCTGTTAGCTACATGCATGCTTCTCGAGCGTGTGAGCCTAAAAGCGCGGGAGTTGTACCTTCAGCCCCCCCCCCCCCCCCCCACCACCCTCCCCAAAACCTGAGACCACTGGCACTGGCACTGGCTTCTACTCTGATGAAGGGCGCTAACTAATAACTTATTCATTAGTTTGAATTTTATTGACCTGCTCTGACCAGCAGTCTAGCATTTGTCATGTACTGTACATGCACATTGTACAATGTACATTGTACCTGTAGAAAGGTAGTATTAATTGTCTGATTGTTTCTTTGTATGCGTTGCTTGCTTACTTGTAATTTGCCTCCTGCAACCATGTTTCAACATTGTTAGTGCTCACGTTTGGTGATTTTGTTGCAGCGTGACCGCCAACTGCCATCTTCAAAGAATTGGATTGAGTTTTGTAGAAAGGTAGTTGGTGTACAATGTACATGTACATGTACATTGTACATGCTCTGTTCAGTGGTATAAAACCTGCTGCAACTTCCCACATTGTACTGATGTTTATGTACCATTTCCTTTCGCAACAACAACAACAACAACAACAACAACAACAACAACAACAACAACAACAACAACAACAACAACAACAACAACAACAACAGCAGCAGCAGCAGCAGCAGCAACAACAACAACCTGGCTAATTTATGGGTTTATAAAATATGGCTGGACATGGTTCTCAGATACTAGTAGTTCCAGAAACCATGCAGCATCCATAATTATTGGTACTTACTTACTTACTTTATCGCTACATCACACATCCACAGTACATCATGTACATGTACATCATGTACATCATGTACATTCATGCTCAAAATGTGCTACGTATCGCTTACCTGTGCATGTACCTGTACATGCACAGTGTATAATGAACGGCTCGATCACGAAATGAATGGGAGCGCGGAGGCACTTTCCTATGCAAATAAATCCCTCACTTTCAGGTAATTGACAGCCAAGCTCATAGGTTAGTGCACTCTAAGTGGTAAGCTAACACATCTTGGCGCCTAGCCATCACCGCAGGCGCGCAAATTTCGGATCGACTCCCATCGGCACCTCAAGAACCAGAGGCTCAGCTCTTTGTTGTGCAATATTGTTGCGGCTAAGTGTCTGTCATTGGCACGACACATGTAATGATGTATGGTGGCCTGCTGCTAAGAAACAGGAGCGACGTAAATGCACATTACTGTATTCTACATGTATTATGCTGCAATGTTTGTCTTCGCTTTGCGCTAGACCGATAGTACATGTATTCTACCTCGTTCCCCTCAGCTCAGTATCACTCAGCTGATACTAAAAGGACTTCCTCTACGGACTAGTACTGTACTTTTGTAAAAGTTTGCCTGAGAATTGCATGTACAGTGTGTACAGTGGCTTTCTGAAAGAATTTAAAAAAAATGTGACGAGTGAGATTGTGCCAATGTTGCTCTAATGTTAACGTGGCTCAGCCCTTTTCCAAGACTTAGTATCTCGTGACATGTCTTGGATACTCAGACCTCGTGCGCTTCCTTGTCATTAGATCTGTATCAGTGTATCAGTGCATCAGTCTGTTCGGCTTGCGCATTCAACTAAAAGGAAACACAAGTAGTTAAACCAACGCACCGGATCGCGTGAGTAGAACTACTATTTCCTTTGTTTCACAGAATGACTAAAACATTAAACGCTCCGCTTACAAAGTACATGTATTATGTACAATGATGAATATCAGTGTCGGTGTTTTTGTTTGAGGCGAAAGATACACACGTAAAACAACAATCTCTAAAAAGTTTTAATTCTCACGTAAACCTCTGCTACACGTACATGTACTTGTACTACATGGCAGAGGGTCGCTTGGGATCACCAGAGAATACTGTATCCTCTTTTCATGATGTACATGATTGTACATGTACATGTACATGTACATGATTGTACTGCTGACGTGCTGTATCCTCATTTTCAAACTCACCTGACAAGTACTGACGGTGATTGTCAACACACTTGTACCTGTCATCTCATCATCCGTATCTGCTACGTGATGTGCATTTACTTGTACAACATGTACGTTGTACATGTTGTACAGTCATGCATATGCACAATGAATAGCACATCGTCTTTCAAACAATCAATCAGGACATCAGTGTGATACAAGGGCAGGCACGTTCCGGCTCTCCGCTTTCTCAATGAAAAAATTTTAAGGTTCTGCGTTCCGGCTCTCCGCCTTCTCCGCAAACAAAAGAAAACTAGAGGAAAACAAACAAACGTAATATGCACAATGAGTATCCAAGCACTTGTACATGTATTTCAGCATCGTAAGTTGAGGTCCCTAGCAAAATGTAATGTCAGTCAAGTATTATCCAACGCTGGGTCCGCAGCTGAGAAAAGGTCCGTTCTTTCTGCTCATTCTTTATGGACCTAGGGCAGAGTTGGTGTTAGGCAAAGCGATCCGACTGGTCAGCGACTCGGCATTGCGCGTGTTGAAACACCAACATCCTCGGTCAACGTTCACTGACCCAGTACAGTTTGACTGTAGCTCATTGTGAGCTTCTAAACTGAAAAATACGACTGTTTATAATGATGATAGTTTCAAGAGTTTCAACCCTTGAAACTATCATATTACTCAATCTATAAGCCTTGCTTGGTTGAAAACAAGTTGTTATGACCGCGCCGGGACATCACTAACCTCTTCTGCAAGCACCTTCTCACGACAGTGTCATAGTGGTGACAGTGACTGTTGTCAGCTGACGAGCTGAGAGAAGGATGCCATTGGCAGAAGTTGGAGAAACAAAGAGAAGAGTATAGAATGGACTAAGGATCAAGAGGATTTACATTTGTACCCAGGACTCACGTCCAAGGAACGAGCAATGAATACACAACTGAGAGTACAAATCAAAAGCAAGAAGGGTTAAACAACTCCCTAGTAGCATAATGAGGGTGAGAACCAGGGCTAACCCCCGTACGGTTCAGGTGGTCTTGCGCAAACCTGGGGCTCTGCCAACCGTGGAGGTTGTAGTAAGGAGCACTGTTTTCAAATACAGTGCGTCCTCCGCCCTGTAGTAACATGACGTTGGTATGGTATATTTTATTTTACTTCGCCAGAATGAACAGGCATTGCTGCCTTCTTGCCCGGACAAGTGGATTGTCCAAGCTCTCACAACCAAACAACAATCATGTACAGTCATGTGACTCTTGAGACAGTAGTATGGACTATGGTGGTGCATTCGCCTCTACTGTAGTGTAGAACCCGAGGAAGCTTAGAGCCACACGACAGCAATCGTTGTTATATTAATTTTATTATCTTATTAGGGCAATGACCACAGACTACAATCTATATCTTATACAAATATGTACATGTACAATCATCATCATCATCATCAAATCATGTAGGTGTTGTTACAGGGTAGACGTCTACCCTAAAGTGAGTGTGTGAAAAAAAGTTAAATGAAGCAGCGGACGTTGCGTATACAATGCCGTTATGTTTCGCAGAACAGGCTGCGTAGAAGGCATGTGGTGAAGAAGGCTGCCTGGTAGGCACCGGTGGATTATGCCGGCAGAAAAATGGCAGAATTCGGTACTTTTTCTGGTAGGTTTCATGCATGTTTGGTATGTGGATAAAGAAATGGAGCAGAATTCGAGAAATTGCCCGCCATAAGGTTTGTATGGTTCTGCATGCCAATTTAACTGCTTTTCGAGCAGAATCTGCCACCTTTTCGAGCAGAATCCGCCAGTGCCTACTGCCTCGCGGCACTCAATTCAACTGGTTCACACAGCATCGTTGCGCTGGTTTACTAAAAAGAAAGCGAATGATACACTGCTTATATTGGAGCGGAGATTCGTGTACGTGTAGTTGGTATTCCGGAGGGGAATTTGAGCAGGGTTGAAGCAGACTGGAGGAGGTTTTGTGGAGCAGGAAACGGTCCGAAATGGAAGGAGTGCTAACAGTCTGAGTCAGGCACAGTTCCAAGGGTTGATTCGTGATAGTCATAACTGATGTTCGTGACATCTGTGAGCGTGTCGAATAGGCATAAGCACAGTTGAAGTCTCACTATTCCGCTTTGAGCGCACTTGATAGTGTCCTTTCATCGCAGCGTTCTATTTCCGTCACGGATTTGGCGTCGCCAGCTGCAACACCGGTCTGACCACCATCCGTAAAAACATGTACTTTCCACCGGCATGCACCAGTGGTTCTCCTGTTTGCAATGTGTTCAGTGACAAAACACCATCGGTGCACACTTGAGAGAATTGTATTTGCTGATATGCAGCACGTGGAGCTGTCGGATTAAGAAGATGAGCTGTACATCTGTTAATATTGTTGACGAATCCGATCCTTTGCCCGTTGACGAATCCGATCCTTTGCCCGTTGACGAATCCGATCCTTTGCCCGTTGACGAATCCGATCCTTTGCCTGTGCATTCACGATTTTGTCAACACCTCCGAGTACATGTACACCTTTTCCACGTTTATCCTGTGCTATATTGTTGTTTCTCTTTACATGTGCACCGATCCATATTGAGACGGATATGAAGTTTTCTTTTTGTGGAATGCATTGCATGATTACATGTACATGGATGTTTGATACTGAGTGTAGTTGCTGTCTAGCTGGCTAACGATTTGATCATGACTGCTCTCAAGCACGCAGACAGCCATTCAACTTACGGATGAGACCTTTAGTATCGCAACTGAACATTTACATTGAAGCATAGCAGTGCCCCTCCTCTCGCCCTTATTGTTTTGGCCACTGTAACTCTCTGTGTAAGCATTCCAACACCTTCCATCAGTTGTATATCACACGAGGACATCACAAAGCCTAATTGGACTGAAGATCAAATACTAGCAAGAGTGGGGTTATGTACTCTTGATACTAGCATTGTGGTATCTGCCCCCTCACCATCACGTAACAATCACCGTCAGACGACATCAGCCAAATGGTTTTCGCGTAGTCATAGCTCTCTGTTAGAGCTCAGCGTCATGCGTGGTGTGTTTTCAAGTTTTGCAACAACTATTGTAGTTTTCAGTTGGTTGATTTTGAAGAGTTGTGTGGCAATAGACTGCCCTCGCACTCTTTAGCATCGAAAATGGCGCTAACCGGTGAATCATGCATGCTCCGTGAGTGAATGCCCATGGTGTAGCGACTGTGACTATGATTTCTGATCTACATGTACTCTGCAGGTCTATTCAGCCTGATTGTACATGCACTTCAAAAGTAGATTTCAACATTAGGTACGTGCGAGGGAGTCCTGTGAGGAGTCAGGCTGGACAGAAGCGTTCAACACATTCTCTGCGCTGACTTGTTGGCAATTGTGTGAGTGTGACTATTTACAGCCGTCTCTGTACGCCGATCTATGATCCATCTACAATGTTGAGCAATATCGTGGCCCAATTTCCCTCTCTGCGATGTGGTATCCCCAGCTGCACTGATGTTCATTTAGTGTATGTTGTGGACGGTCGTCTGAAGCGCGTGCAACTCTTGAGTCACGACTAACACTGTTCATCGTCATTTACCTGTTTGCACATGTACATTGTACTCAACTGTGCTCTGTGTTCATTGACATTGAGCACTCTGCCCGGGATGGCGGACTGCACATTGCTAGTGTTCATTGTATGTTTACCAAAAAAGCTGAGTAGGGACCGGCGGATTTTGCTCGAAAAGGTGGCAGATTCTGCTCGAAAA